ATCCTAATATAGACCGCATGGTGGCAGCACCTGACGGTGTGGTATTTAGAGTTAGGGATAGTTCACTATATTACACAAGTGTAGGCCGGTTTGGTAACTATACACTTTTACTACAGACACCTTTATTGACTCATACGAGCGAGCGATGGAGGGAAGGGATTTTTCTGACAAGTCGCAGACGGTTTGATTTCTTTTCATGATTGATAAATGTAATAGTACATTTATTTTTAAAACAGCGTAAGTAAAGTCAGAATGAGTAAAAACCGTCTGTCTGTGGGAAAGATGTTACGTGGCGACATCTTTCGGAAGCAAACAGTATCATTTCGTTACATTACCGGAAGTACTGTGTATGGAAACGAGGCAACTTCCTTTTGGGCCATAATCTTACGGCCAGAATGGTTAGTAAAGATATTGCAATGAAATCATGTTCAATCTAGTTTTAAACGATTGCTTTAAATTGAATGTATGCTAAATTGTTGTGCAGATGTGGCTTGTCCATTTTATAATCTATGTTTGGCTCGTATAAAGTATCATATATGATGACAATTTTACGTTGAGTTACTGTCGTGTTCACCGTGTATTTTGGTGCGACAACAATAGTATATAGGTACTAGTTGACCTTCTCTGTTATATCTTATATTCCTTCTACGCATACAATTTTCAGTGTTAATCTGTATATGGAGTACCATATGTCCATAGTGTCCTAATAACATTACTCACTTTCAGACTAAAGGAACATCGAGTTTTGGCAAGCGCCACAACAAGACACATACACTGTGTCGTAGATGTGGCCGAAGTTCCTATCATATACAGAAAAGCACATGTTCGCAATGTGGTTATCCAGCCAAGAGAATCAGAAAGTGTAAGTTATGAATCACGTGTTATTGTGTAGTTATTGCTTACCCCAAAGTAAGTGCTTGGCTACTTAATGCATAGCTTTAGTACTATATCCCGCGTACAGTTGCTGCAGGGCTATAGAACATTCTATTACGAATGCTAGGGACCAACTTATTCACGGTTACTCGCGGCTATGAAACGTCGGTGGTAGGCAATTAATGCCTCCTATCCGAAGTGAATATGTTTTAAGTTGTATCAGCTACTAAATTTAATCTCTAACTATTGTTGAAAGTGTCTACCTGCGGTATTTCTTGTGAAAGAACATTTACGAACTTCAAACAGCTATTTTTGGTGGCGCTGCAGCAACGCCAGTCAGCGGGTTGGTCCCTAGCATTCGTAATAGAATGTTCTATAGCCCTGCGGCAACTGTACACGGGCTACAGTACTAGAGCTACTTGATGCATAGCCTGACCAGGCTGTGAAATAAATATCAGTGCAGAGACTGGCAGCTGTCCATTGAAAGCTAAAGTATCTCTATAAAAATTAAACAAGTACATGTATCTTGAAGATAATAATTGTCTGTTTTACTCGTTTCATATTAACTTCAAATTTACGTTATAGTATTTCAGGTTCGTTATTTGAACTTACACATGAGTTCGCTGTATACATCATAAATTTTTACAAGGCGAGCAAAATGGATAGTCAAATTGAAACCGTTAGTGTCACAAGTATCTTGTCAATTATGTCCATTGTGTTCTTGTGGTCCATTAGCACTTGGACATTAACTTGTAAATACAATTTCATAACTACCCCATGTGACCAAATTTAATTCTGTTAATACAGTTCAATTATTTATTCAATATTGTGGTAATTTTTAGCTCACATCTTTGTGTTTGGCTTGCATGCACCCCCGTTACCACAGAGTGCTTTATGTTAGTAACGGAATGCTTTATGTTATGGAGCTAGATGAGTAATAAATAACCAGAAGTCATTCTGAAACAGTTGACATTAGAAGTGTCTACAGGTTGTAGGTGGCATGTTAATTTGTAGATGCTACTTCTTGCTAACTGTACTAAAAAATTACCTAAACCATTTGCCTGCATTCGTAGTGAATTGCATATCTGATCTGGTCTTCCCACAGTTAACTGGAGTGAGAAGGGAAAGCGGAGAAAGACGACGGGAACTGGTCGCCTGAGACACATGAAGGTCGTGAATAGACGCTTCAAGTAGGTCACGTCCTGTGATTACCGCTGCTGACTTTGCCTCTTCAAAACCTCATGTGCTTATGTTGAATTAAATTCAGCGTGCTCTTCCACACCTGCTCGTGTATTGCCTGTGTTGAAACAAACTTAAAAGGTTTATTTTAAGGACCTACTTTTAAGTTATCACCTCGGTGTGATATGCGAGTAGGTTGAATGCTGTTGAGCTCGTAGATTCAGGTGGGGGAGAGTACGTGTGCTTCAATCGTCATGTTTATAAAGGTTTCTTGTTTGCTTTCAGGAATGGCTTCCGTGAGGGAACAGTTCCAACGCCAAGAAAGAGAGGCGGAGCAGCCGCCCCATCGGCAGCAGTAGCGCAGAAATAAACTAACTTTATAAAAAAAGTGACATTAAAAAAAATTGTGACTACAAAAGCTCGTGTTCGTGATTATTGGTTGAAGTATTTGGGTTATATCTCGTCAGACGATGTCGTTTACTCTGCACCCAATTTCTTATAATTAGCTGCTATATGCGAGCGAATAAGAAATGTTACTGTGTTTGAATTTGTCATCTATATGTCGTTCAAGCACCCGGTCAGTTTATTAGGGAAACGGACAGATTCCATATTTCTGATGGTACAAATAATGATAAAAGAAAGTTTCCTCACTAGTATTTAGTCGATATCTACTACTATCATACTAGTACGTAGTTTCTATTACTTGATTTTATGGAGAGTTGCAGTTAATGTTAATCTTGGACATATTCTTGCAAATTTTTAATACGGGGCGTTTGCATGCTCTTTGCAATGAGGTGGTGGAACATAAGAGATGCAAAATTGACTGAAGTTTTAATCATTAGCTTTTTATTCAATTATCCAGTAGCTACATAATAATGTTGAATGTGCTGTGGTTGGCTATTTACAATTGCAGAAACGTACACTTCAATGTTAACCCAGTTTTTATAGTACAGTGCACTAGACTGACCAACAGTTTGCACATCTAGTATGTGCCTATATGACATGCAATTCTGCGCTACTAGTAAACTAATACTGTTAGTTACAAGAGAACCTGAACGTAACATGACAATTACGATGTCACGATGCATAATAACAATAGATTACCACCAGTGTTGCTGAGAGGGTCTGTCCCCCAGGGTACTGCCGGACTGTACCTCGCCTACTCCACTAAGAGTCTAGGGAGTCGCCTACGCCTACTCCCTAACCCTAACCATATCAAATAGTTACCAGGGTACGTTCCGGCAGTACCCTGGGGGACATAGACCCTATGAGCTCCAGTGTTGGCATGATCAGGCTTAACAGCTGTTCAAGCATGGTGATGGTCATCTAAACGAGAGTTGACCGCCTTGATGCCATATGATATATCG